CTCGAATCATCTCATGCAAGAAAACTATAAAAATACTAACGTATTTTTACTTTGGACCTTCTGTCTCCCAACGACCAGTGTAGCAGCAGCCTCTGCAGCAGTAGGTCTCAACATACATAAAGGAAAAAGCGAAATTCTCCGATGCAACACAACATGCACCAACCAAAACACTCTTGATGGAGATGCCTTGGAGGACATTAACACCTTTACATATTTGGGCAGCATCATCGACAATCAAGGTGGAGCCGATGCAGATGTGAGGGCGTGGATCGGCAAAGTAAGGGCTGCATTTCTACAGTTGAAAAATATCTGGAACTCCAAACAACTTTCAACCAAAACCAAAATCAGGATTTTCAATACAAATGTCAAGACAGTTCTTCTGTATGGAGCGGAAACTTGGAGAACTACGAAAGGCATCATCCAGAAGATACAAGTGTTGATTAACAACAACTCATTCTTTCAATGATACTGTAGAATAAGGATGGTTTTATCAACATTTGTCAACTTATCATATCTCCTGTGATACAGTAAACAGATTTTAAAACCCTGTATCTGCATAAAAAGACCGAGTGATAATACTGCTGCCAACATTTCAACTGTATGTATAGTCATTAAAACAATACAAGTCGGTCGTGTTATGTGACTTTCCCTGTTTCACTTGTTCAGGATAATAAACCATTTATGCAAACAACAAAAAATCAGTTCAACTAGCATTCAGTCACGCTTCAGTTACTCACGATTTTCAGTCATCCTGAATGCCAAGTTGGTGTACATCCTCCAACTCTTAAATGAGGTTGAAAGGGCTATAGGAAATCTGAAGCGAGGGAGAGCAGCACGACCTGATAGATTGACCCCTGAGATTTTTAAGGATGGTGGTCCAGTTTTAGCAGTGAGATTGACTGAGATCTTAGGTAGAATTCGGTAATCCCATCCGACTGGTCTCAATCACTGATTGTCCCAGTCTACAAGAAAGGACAGAAGTCCTCTTGTGACAATCACAGAGGATTCAGTCTAAAATATTAGGTTCAATGATACTTCAACGCCGAACTATAGCTCGCACAGAGCAGACTCGATAAAACCAGGTTGGTTTCCGACCTAGACATGGCTGTATAGACCAGGTACTCACACTTCGTCAGATTTTAGAACACATACATTTCGACGCCCGACAGTTGTTGTACACCTCGATAATAAGTGGGTGTTTGACTCTCTTGATCGTGAAGTTTCCTGTCAATGTCTATCATTGAAAGGTGTATCAGAGAAGTACATTAACCTTGTACAGGCTTTCTACTCGAACACTATTGGTCCGGTGAGAGCTTATGGAAAACTGTCATCAAAATTGATTACTTCAGAGGGTGTTCGTCAGGCTTGGTGTCAGAAGTGCAGAAGTCTGGATTAGGATTTGCGAACGTCAGTCACTTATGGCGTAGGCAAGATATCTGTTTGCTAGAGTCTACTGTGCAGCAGTTTGCTCCGTCCGTTAATTAACAACAAGATGCTGATTCTGAATTACAACAGTTGCATAGAAAAAGTAATAATTCTGTAATAAAAATAGTTTTATAACGATAGAATTTTATGGAGATCGTTAATCAATCTAGGTAAGATAATCACTGAAAATATGTTAGCATTGAATTAACATTTTATTCCAATACGGGACTCCTAAGCAGTGTGCAAACACAAACACGCATCCAGAAATTGAATCTTAGATCTTCGGTCTCACGTAAGAAGACTTATTTATTAAACAATTGACCAGAAATCTTATGGTCGAGTGGGACAACTATTCTTTCGGTAGACCGGAAGTCCTTGGTTTGATTCCTGGATGCGTGGTTATGCATACACACTGCTATTCGCCTTCGTGAAACATCATTACCTGTATTTAGAGGATAGCCTAACTGTATTGTACGAAGAGAGTGGACTGGTAATATACTTCCAAAATTAAAATCTGTTTCTAGTTGTTTTAGCATAGTTCAAAGATGCTGAAAGTATTTTATCTCAATGTGTGATTACCTCCAAGTATGCAAGTGAAATGTTTGAATTACTAATAGGACTGATCAATTACTTGTTTTTTGTTCAGATTGAGGCGACAGTGGTTTATGTTGCAAGAAATCCTCTAAATTAATTAAAACAAGGCCTTTCATTCTTTTAACCATTTTCATAATTTATTTTGAAATGACTGAGATAAGACAATGTCAATGTTATGGTTCTTAAATTTATTCAACGTGATTAAAGTATCTTTTATTATTCAGTTCATCGGAAGTGCCTTTATTAACAAGTATGTAAAGATATATCAGGCTTGTTAAAAAATTAAAACACACTTCATTATTCAGTCAGTCAGTCAGATTCAACGTAGAACTTCGTACGTAAGTACATCAGTTCATTTCGCCATACCACATTAGCACACAGAGATTTAATCGTCAATTCAAATCCAATAGTAGAAGAGGTAGCAAAAGGTATTAGAAGTAATTGGAGATGTTAGGATTAGAAGATATTATTCAAGAAGTATGCTTAAATGAGAAAAGTATAGAAAGTCAAAACTAGAGGTGTTGAAGAATCCAGAAGATTAGGATTTGAGAACACTTCATTATTACTTAGTTTACTTGTATATAAGTATTGAAAAAATTGACAAATTAATTAGACAAAATGAAATACTTGTCCTCCATCTCATTGTGCAACATTTATTCTCAAAAATTCACTACTACTAAAAAGAACTTATTAAATAATTTTAAAATATTGTAGTTATTTATTGAATTTGACTTTAAATTAAAACTATTTCAAGTTTATCTCTAATTTAATGAAATATATTTCATATAATCAATAAATATTACGTGACTTTACGTTCAGCATTAACGGTTATATATTCATTTCTGTAAGCTCTCTTTGAATTAAACATTTTCTGTTACGAGAAAATTTCGGATACTTTAATCATTACAAATGTGTAAATACTGACGAGCTCTTCAATAGTGTTGAGACGTTAGTTCTCTAGAACTCACTTGACAAAAGTTCTAACTTTGAATTCTATTCATGTGCCGATCAGTTTAGCTTGAGATTACATTTCCCTCCAGGAAAATCCTTGGCTGTAATTGGTTGGTGTGTTATTTTAGTACGCTATTTTTGTGGCTCTCTCAAGAATATATAAATAAACTCGATTTGTGCGCTTGTAAAACCTCATATTTTCTGGGTACTTGTAGAATACACTTCTACGCCATATCAAAACTTCTTTTTTTCCAATTAGACGGGGGCAACGAATTAGAGTAGTCTATCGTGTCACTGGATTGTTTGTCTTGCTCTCATTTACCGACTAAAGTGAACTCGTAATAGTTTCAAGCATATCATGATAGATATGTCGAGGCATAGTTTATAATATTGTTTGGTGATCTAATAACCGAATCCATCCTGTATTTTAATATCGAACATTGATATGTTACTTAAATTTATCTCAACACTTAACAAGAAACTATTTTACGCTACCGAAAAATTTCCATATTATTTTCAGGTTTACAATGATTCTAAAGTTGGTGAGTTTCCACCGTTGTTGTATGGGACTACAGTGAACATTATAAACTTCCTTCAAAAAATGATTGAAGAAGGAGAAATTTCTTTGAATAATTCCCGTCTTCTGTTAGAACAGTGCCAAAATTATAAACCAGAAGCATCAATTGTGAACTACTATCGAACAAAAACAACCATGGGCTTCCATTCTGATGATGCAGAATTAAACAAAGAAGCTCCTTTGATTTCGATTAGGTAGGTAGGTGTAAAGAAAGTACTTTAGTAAGCTTGTCATTTACAAATTGACTGGATTCATTTAGAAGTGCTATGTAACTATTGGTCTCTCCCTATTAGGATTGTCTTATTTTGTCAAGAATACACATTCCAAAACCCAGAAAATGAAGCATACCGTAAAGAGTATATTTGGCTTTGCATAATAGGGAAAACAACATATGAGAAGAGCATTTGTGACCATTGTAAGGCAACAAATATCCTATCATCATAACTGACATGCAAAACTATCTCACTCTTGCCTGTCCTAAGTTGGCCAAAAATATATCTGTCGAGATTGGGCTCGACGAGCTCCCGCCCCATAGTAACCCTGTCAACTTTCTGAAATGTGTTTTGAAATCGAAATCATACACCTTTAGTACATGTTAGTGTTGGGGATGTTAGATCTCCAGAACTCGCTTGATAAATGCCCTATCTTGGATTTCACGTTTGCGAGCATGGGCTGATCAGTTGACCTTGAGATTTCATTTCCCACCAGGAAAATCCATGGCTATGATTGGCTGCTGTGTATTTTAGTGTGCTACTTTTGTGACTGTCCCAAGGACGTTTCTATGATGTATAAATAAATAAATAAACGAGAGTTGTGTGCTGGCTGAGTGTTTGTAGAATACAATTTCTACACTATATCAAGACTTCTTACTGATACCTTTTGGTCAACGGATCACAGTAGCCTACCTGGACGCTGGTTCATTGTTTGTTCTCGTTATTCGTCTAAGGTGAACTCGTAATAGTTTAAGCATACCTAGTGACGAACGTAACAGTTAGTAAGAGCTGTATTGAGATCATTCTTTGGTAATGGTATATATAGGTCATTGTATCTACACATAATTTGTATGGTTTCTTCTAGTGGGATTATCCTAAATAATAATGACACATCAAATTAAATTGTGAATTTCCCAATAATGTCCACAGTTCCTAGTACATGAGCGAATTATTTAGAGCACAGACCAGTATAAATTTTTATTGAAAAATTAAGTATGATATATTGATGACTCTCTGGGGTTATCCATTTGCATAACCGTAAGTTGAGAAAAAAAATTATTTATGAAACTGTTTCCGTAAACGTCTATCTTTCAACGAATAATCACGTCTAGTATTTCCTTTTTAGCATTGGACCCACTGCATTATTTCTACTGGAGACGTCAGAACCCATCAAGCGTAAATCTGACGTTCTATTGAATGATAATTTCAAACAAGCAACTGACTATAATCATATATTACCGATTTACCTTCATCATGGTGATATCGTCATTATGGCTGGTAAAAGTCGTCTGGCTCGTCATGCTGTCCCAGTAATTTTATTCAACGATGTTACCAAGGCTGTCAATGAAGGAGCTCTACGAGTTAGTCAAAATATCTGTGATCAAATTTTAAGCAAAGATCATTATACGGATGCGTGTATAGATTGTCAAGAATATTTGAAATATGTTAGAACTACACGTATAAACATTAATATACGCCAAGTAATGCCTGTCCATAGATAACTCGTGTTAATTTTATTTTATTTTTAATACTATTATGATGTACAGCTTGTCTTTTGACAATAATCAACATCAACTACTTCGAAAGTCTAGCGATTTCGCATCAAATTGTATATTTTATCTGGTCACTACTATCCAACAAACATACTCTTACGACAGCGCTTTTCTTTTTCGACAGGTCTCCGCCTACCCACACGCACTTTATGATGTGTTTTCCAGCATCCATAACCGATGTTGATTCGATATTACAGTTGAGTGTACAAATTTATAATGAAACAGTAGAAGAATTACTTAGTACTTTTTTTAGAGTATAAAAAGTTAAGCTGTTGAAAATATAATTGGTTAGTTGTGTAGGAGTAACTCAGCAAAATTTTGAGAAATATTACAATGGAGAATTCCTAAGAGATAAAAAAAAATGGCGCATACATTTAGATAAAATACTATTGTACACTGTTTCAGATTAATATGCGCAATTAAAATACATATTTAGAAAAGTTGGAAGGAACTCTAATAATACAACATGTTACACTCTAAAATAAGGACCATTTGTAGTACGGCTTAGCATAGCTTCATTTCGTATTCTTGATGATGCTTCCGGGGCTAAACGATTTAATAACGGACGAAGAGATGGTTCAAGTGCGATTACAGCGCCTGAAATAATAGACAACCAGTGAAAAAAAGGGATGTGAGTAGGTGAAAAATTGTTGTATGAATAGAATTACGCTAAGAATCATAATGAAATCCATATGGTTATTTAACAATGCAGTGTGTATTTTGTTTCTAATGTAGCTATTTTCCAACTGTTTTAGAATAGCCTACAACAGATAAAGCTTAGGCAAGAATTGTGAGATTTTCAGAACATAATTACAACTCATATAACTAAGTTTCATGTGTAGATAACTTGGCAAGTAGAAAAATAATCCAGCGTTTTATATAGATCATTACCCAACAATGCAATTAGTACATCCTGACAGTGCAGTACGAAGAATACCTGGAAAGATGTTTGTAGCCGAATATTCTATGTTCACCTTTACTACATTACGAAACATAACTAACTACATTATGCCTTTACTTATCAATAATCAGTCGAGATAGAGCGGGCGCAGAGTTAGTTCGTTGGTCATCAACACAAATTTCTACAAATAAACGGTACAAAGGAGCACCAGAATACATATGCACTACACAAACTATTGAGTTTTCTTGAAGGCAGAGATGCTGTCCGAGTGCACAAACCGAAGTAGGTGGTATTAGGGAGCCACTTCCTGGGCGTTTGACCTAAAGGTCTGTTTTGACCTTAACCGTTAATCAGTATTACGTGAAAAATACAAAACACCAGTCAGAATTGCGTTTGCATCAAAAACCATGTGACAAGCTACAAATCTTCACTGATTCACGACTCGATAGCTTCTTCCTTCCAACCCTGACTCAGGCCGGAAGTACGTAAGCCAGCCTCCACAAAATTTCGTTATTTTTCAAGCAGATATAATTTATATACCAAACCACATCACACCATAAAATGAGAAAATACATTTATACATGAGCGAGCTAAAAGTGACAATAACAAATCATACAACAGTAGTTGATCGGTTAATTGGGAGATTATAATAAAAGGGATGTAAATAAAGACTAATCTAATTCATACACAATGATAATCCACAATTCAGTCCTGAAAGTAACCATCCCTTTAATCTTCTTCCTGATATAGCAAGGTCTAATCGATAAGGAAGTGGAGCGATGTTATAAGATGCCGTCCCATGGTAACCAGTGATCGAAAAAAGGCTTAAACATTATTTGTTCCCTTAGGATTTTGAAGCACATTTATATTATTGGTTTAGAGCCAAGGATTTCCGACCCCCTTAGATGGATTCTCTGTGTTTGCCGTCCCGATTTTAACAACGGACATTCACCTTTTATCCCCTCAATTTCGTAAACAACACTTCCTTCACGAGAAGACAGTAGGACATTTCTGGAACTGGCTATATACAAGTGGCTTAGTGAGAGCATTTATAGTGAAAAAAATGGACTCCAACCGTCAGTCGTACTAAGGTGTTTGGGTACAAACCCCCGAGCTCGGTGCTGAAATATTCTAACGCAATACTTAAAAAATCGGTTTCCTTGACAAGTCGGAACAACCGTCTACTCTTTCCTATTCCTGCTGCCTTTTCCATTGCTCTTGCTTTAGCCACCCACCACTCTCCGCGGTCATTTTGTAGGCTTCTTATCAACCTGAGCAAGCTGATTTCGCTCTTCATCATTTTCAGAGCCAGGTGGGATGAGTTTACCAGCGCCTCTCAGTTCAGTGGATGCTACTGAGATCCACAGTTTCTACCTAGTCTTATGGTTTACCTTACTAGCAGATATCAGTGCTATTTCCACAGCCTTTTTGATATCATTCCAATCTGCTTCCGGATGGGAATCGCTTACATGGTCGCCTAACTGTCTTTCTAGTTGCTCCTGAAATACATTCTTAGCTTGATTATCATTAAATGAAACCCTAAGAGGCTCCCTAACGGTGTCTTTCCTACGTCCAGTAAGCCACAAACAAATACGCACTCGCACTAGGGCATGATCTGAATTTAAACATATGCCCTAGAACGAGCGACAGTCCCCTATTGAACATCTCCATCGGTGGCTGGTGGCGATGTGATCTAGTTGGGTCCAACGTTGAGACGACTTTGGGGGTTGCCAAGTCAAAAGATGTTTAGGAATAGGCGGTTATCTGAGCTTAGTTGCAACGGACGGTCGCTATAATCTGTTCTCTGAGCCGCGAGGCCATAACATCCACCTAGGTGTCTTTCATTTTCACTTAGTCTACCTACTTGTGCATTGAAGTCACCAGCCATTATAACTATATGAGAGCGCTTAACTTTTTGGAGGAGGCCCGAAAGCTTTCTGTAAAACTCATCTTTTACATCGTCTGGACTGGAATCAGTGGGGGGGTAGGCTGATATGACGAAGAGGCAACGGCGAATGTCCCTATCCTTCCGAGTCCTTACTGTCCCGTTTAGTCGGACGGCGCATAAGCGACTATCTACAGGGATCCAGTCTAGGAGAGATTGTTCAGCTCTACGACTCAATGCTATGCCTACGCCAGCGAGACCCCGGGAAGCAGCATCAGGGCTTCCAGATACAGGAAGAGTAAATCGATCTGCTTCTTTATTTTGACAAGGTGAAATCAGATTAATAATTTTACTAGTATCCTGTATGCGTGTTTCCGAGACGCAGCATACATCGATTGAGAGAGATTCTAAAATCCTAGCTAGGGAAACCTGTTGCCCTATTTGACACAATGTCCGTACATTAAAAGCTCCAACATGTAATTTAGAATGGAGTTTCAAGGTACTAGGAATAACGTTTCGTGAACTCGAATCGTTTGCATTAGCGGTGCAGTGTGATAAAGGAATGTGATTAAAGTTAGTCATGGAGATAAGAGAGAAATTAGGTGTAGGAAGGATTTAATTGTGACCTATTTGGTCGCGTGTGTTGTTACGGGTATGAGGGCAGTTGTTACTTACCGGCTGCCCCCACCGTGGAAGGGTGTTTCTCGAGGAACCTGAAAAGCAAGGTGGATTAGTGTCTGTCTTAGAGACTTGGGAGCGTGACCGCAGAGTCCGAGAGACAACTGCTTGAGGTCGGTCACGGACGGCCTTTTTATGAGGTTTTTTGAGTGTTAGCTCCGCTCTTGAAAGCCCTTAGTGGGCACCCTCACCGACGGAGACGGGAATCCGTCAGAAAGGGTGAAGTGTGACATTTTTAGGATCGACCTTTTCTAACCCTTCCTTCCTTGTCAGAAGGCAGCATCGCTGCACATGCTGGTTGTTCGAGGGAAACACCTTACTGCTATCACAATCCTCTACAGTCAGCAGTACGACTTCGCCCTCAGACCTTGAGTAGCTGCTTTTAGTCTCACCGTTCTCCAATCGCCCTTCCTGGCATGGTAGGACCTATAGGGACATATGTTCCAGACAATATATCTCGGTTGAGTCATCATGATAGACAATCCCGACCACCACGTCAAGGTAGCAGCTACGGTCTGGATAGTCGCTGTGACTCAAAGTCGGAGGAAACTGCACATATATTGAATTTTGTTGGTACTCGGTGATAGTGTTTGTAAGATCCAGAGGAAGATAGAGAATAAACAAATCTGCTCTATTGTTACTGACTTCAAGCTATTTCCCCAATGTATAATTTTTTCAAACATTTATATTGTCGAATGCCAACGACTCCGCATATAGCCAAACAAGTAAACATTAAACATCATTACATTTGATCATAAACTCACCTATATTGCACTCACTCGAGCCAACAACCGTCAGAAATAGTGGCAAAGTTGATTGGCATGTGAAATGAAATTGGCAGATCTGAAAAAACGGATAGTATTGATGATATACTACAAGATTAAACGTTTTACAGCATTAAAGCTGCAGTTTTACTTTTTAGTGCGCACATAGACTAACTAGTTTGACAGTTTCATGTTAGAAATATTACAAAATTGTGAGTTGCGACATTGCTCAATTTAGTTGTTTCTGGAGTTAGCGCGCTACACTATTACAGTATGCTTATGACACCTGGTCCCTCCGAGTTGATGATATCAGAAAGCCTTCTGTGTTCAATCATTGTTGTCTTCGAAGGATTGCTGACATTCAGTAGCAATAACATGTTAGTAAATCAGAGGTCCATCAGCGCGTGTTTAATCACAGCGACAATAATTTCATTAGTGACACCATTCTGAAACACCGACTTCGTCGGTTTGAGTATGTATTTCGAGTGTCCTCCCAGCGAGTTCTACATAGTGAATTATTTGCCAACGCTGGAGCTGGTTGTTAAAAGCAGACCGGTTGTCAGTATATGATATGGTGCTGCAGTATGGAAGAAAGCTGAACAAGACTGGCATCTGTTGGAAGTGTGACTCACTAGCTTGAAATGTTATCACACATTGTTCAGAAGAGCATCTAGCACCGGTTTTGCTGTAACATTTTTTTCACTTTTACCATGTACGCGAGAGGGACTCCTCTAACTGAAAGAATACTTTTGAGTTGTATTTTCTTAAACTGAACTGTTTCTTCCACTATTACACTAATTTCTATCCACTTTTTGTTATACTCACCGTTCCTTCTCTATCTCTTCACAACCTCTTTTTTATTGTATGGTGCACGTATAATTTTGTGTCTAACTGTAACAATATTTACATATTTTAAATAAACAGATGTGTGTATGCACGCTTGCAATAGGTTATTAATCGATTATGTAACTATGGAAGATCTAATTTATCAACGGATAGTTTAATGATTAAAACACTTGCACTTTATTGTGCATCATCATTAGTTGAGAGTGGTTTGGTAGTTTAGCCAATAAATCTTCACTGTTATGAGCCGCAGTTTGCTTCCGGTTCATTTTGAATCTGGCTTCCTTTAACTTAACTCGAGTAGATCGGAAGTATATTTAGCTATCATAAGGCTCAAAGCCAAACATCAGGGCGTGGTTGGTGAATTTAGCACATATCAAAATGGAATCAATAATCTGAAGCTGTGATTAATAGTGGATTACAACAATTGGAATCTTAGATCATTATGAAAAACTGACGTTACATTACAAAAGAAAAACAACGTGTGATAATATGTCTCGAAATATTATATAAATTGGAAGATAGTTTACAAAACAGATTAGCTTTGACTACCAACACTATATACCTAAATCTTCGTGAAACAAAACACGGATATGTCAACAAAACAGATTTGACCGGTCTGTCAAATAATTCATATGAAATCAGCATGTGTTCATCGTAATGTAATATCCGACAAATTGCTAAGCATTAAATCTGTAGTATAAAATACATGCACAATCATTCATTTCCACCAAACATATCTAAACTCATGGTGGTATACTTAGTTATGGTATAACCCAAGTTAAAAATCTTCATTATGAGTGCTTCAATATGCTGTTGTGTCCAAAGAAGCTCGTCTGAAGGTTCTGCTTGCTTTAACATACAGGATAGCATTCTTGGTAGCTCAGTAATGCCCACGACCACTTTATAATATCTGAACACAGGATGAAGCTTGAACTCAGATTTGAAGTCTATAATTATTCTGAGCACAGAAATGAGAAGAATGAACAAAAATGGACGGAACTGGAAAGGCAAGCCCAGGACAGAGTAGGTTGGAGGATACTGGTCGGCAGCCTATGCCCCATTCGGAGTAACAAGCCTAAGTACGTAAGACAGCTAAATCAAAACCGGATAACTAATCCCTTGTATCTTGGTTGCTGATCAAATACTTCAGAGTGCAATTAGATAATGTAATTGCTATCGCTCGTTCTAACTATATGTGCTTCGACGTAGGCTCTTGTGAAATACTTCAACCCTGACAAAAATGCTAAGATTTTGTGTGATACATAGTATTCTTTGGTTCCCAGTTGCACGTATTTTCCGTGGAATTGATTTTAAATAAGATCTGGCTGACAGTATCACATTTCCTAGAGACACTTGATTTTTTAATACGGTGGTGTCGTCTTATTGATCAAAATAACAATGATTACCAAGACCTCGTTCTAAATTTACGTTAAGCACAAAATGAGGAAACTTCATTAAGTTGAATAAAAGTGTGATGTCAAACATATTTCAGGAAAATCTATATTTTCTGGAAAATCCCATTTTTCTCCTGTCATAGTTTTTTAGTTAGGCTTGGCATTACACTGCATAAAGTCTGGTGTACTTGAGTATGTCAGACACGATCAAGTTCGATGAAAAAGCTTTCACTAATAAACATACCACCATTTCTTGATAACTGGTGATCATCCATTCCAACTCTCCAAGATCTAATTTGTTTACTTGTTGTAACGATACAATAAAAGCAGCAGTTACATAAGGTGAGCGAGCTTGATCAGGCATATCATCCATAGTAGCTGGAACATAAAAATGATAATCGCCTTACCACTTGCCACAACGACCCCATCTTTATCGGCAACAAATATACCTAGAATCCCGTCAACCCTAATTATACGATCAGATAAACAAAGAACTCACTCAGATAGAAACCTCTTAAGATAGTCGCAAGCAGACTATGAAACAGGTTAGAAGATATTTATTAACTAACCTCAGACATCAATACTGAAATAGGTTTTCGTTATAAAAGAACTGAGAGTAACCTCGAAACTAGTAGGGTCTAAAAGCACACAAGGCCTGAAACGCACCGCATACCTCGTAATTTACGCGGTACAGTATCTAATATCCAATTTTCCATGATCTAGTAAAAAGCGGTTGATTTCTTTGTACTAGATTATCTTTCTTTTGGTACAGTTCCACGTGTTCTGTAGTATTCAGTGGATGGGGTATAGCCACTCCACTGAAATGATTCTAGCCAGTTGGCAGTTGTTTGTGAGTTTGTGTGTCCCGTGATTTGAGTGAATACGATTGTTTCAGGGCAGCATGGTTTCTGGATAACAGGAGTTATCACGTTACCAGATCAGTTGGTTGCATTGAGGAGAATAATGGAGGCAAAATCCTGATGCTAACCAGAAGATTTCGGAACTAAGTTAGAAAAGAGGTAAATTGGCCAAAATTGATCGATAATAAAGATTATGCGAGAGGACCGGAGTGTACGCAAGGGAAATAAAACAGAGACAATAAGCGAGAAAGATAAAAATTAGCAATATGAGGAAATGGCAATGATAAAAATTAACAACATTCGTGACATACATCAAGTGCAGCTGGTTAACGAGGGAGATGGTAATCTATTGTGAGTACGTGCTACCAAGTCTCTTCTTGAAGCTATCGACTGAAAGGAATGAAGTCACCCTGAATGTGAGTGCATCCCAAGTCGCAGCAACTCTTAGTGATAAAACGTGTGCGCAAACCTGGGTTTTTTCTCTTTGAAGCTCAATTTTTCGAGGATTACCTCTAGGGGGAATGGTGGTGATTCTTCGGTAAGATGCTCGCTTTGGGATTGTCTGTCGTGCTTTGTATGCTGTACTCCATTATCAGAGCACCTATGATTCTCCTGTTACTCAGGGAGAACAATTCTTAACGCTGTAGTCTATCTTCGTAAGGTTTGCCCTCCGATTTTATCACCAATTTCATAGCTCGTCTTTACATTCGATCCAAGAGATTTATGTCTCCTTTTTAGGGAGATTGGGAGTGACAACTTTGTGAGCCTCAAGGTGAGGGCATGAGAATAGTTTAAGCACCGTTAAGAATAATCCTGATCTCTCCAGATTTTTGCATTCTCTGAGTACATCACTGCCGCTGTGCTAACTTTGTATAAAAGATCTTTAATGAATATCAGGAAGAGAAGTGGACTTAAGATGGCTCCCTGTGAAATTCCTAATGTTGAAACACGTACACTCACATGCACGCTATTTATCTCGGTGCGAAACTTTTTATCCTCAAAGTATTTTACGGGTCGAATTGAAAGTGGGTTAGTGAAGCCGATTTCTGCAAACTTCGCAAATAGGAGTGCGTGGGGTTCAGTGTCGAATGCTTTTGCGATGTCAAGAAACATTATGTGCACCGATACTTTTCGATCCAAGAAGGATGTCCATCTGTCCCATGCTGCGTGAATACTGAGTGTACACGACCTGCCTTTCTGACTCTCATGTAGAGTTTCATAAAGTATTTTGTTCTTATTAGTGTAAACACTCATTTGTCTGTTCTCCAGCCCTTCGATTACGTTCAGTAGTATTGGTAGTAATGCGAATGGTCTGTAACACGCTGGGTCCTTCTTGTCTCCTTCTTTGAAGATTGCAGAGAGAAGAGTTTGTTTCAACTTAGCTGGGAGTTTGTGTGACTCCATTGAATGCATTAATAGGTCAAATATCTGTGAACCGAGGGCTCTGACGCACTGTCTCAAGACTATAGGGAGTATATTGTCACATCCTTGTGACTTTCCGGAACGCAAGAATTTGAATTTTATCAGTACTAAATCAGGAGTTAGTGGAATATTCCCTAGGCCATCAATGGTACTATGCTTGGGTAGTACTCTGAATGCGCAGGTATTTGGTTTAATTGATTGGTGAAGTTGGGGTTGAAGATCTCAGCCATCACTAGCTCGGTAAGATCTCTGTCATTTGGACCTCTGAGAGAACACAAACCCTGGTTTGTAGGTTTAGCTTTTGTCATACCCTTAAACAGGTGTTTAGGGTTTACCTGAGTTTTAGCAGCTGGCTTCATCACTACGAAATTTGGGATTGCTTCTGTCTTTTAAAGCCAAGCAAGAACAACGATCTGAATCTTTCAGAAGGACCTTCCACTTGTACCAGGCTCTCCTA